AGAAAAAAAAAGACGGAACAGATTCAAAAATTGTAGTCCAGTCAATCTAGCATTTCTTTGCATGGGAAAGTCAATGTATAGAAGGCTTCTTTGCGATCCGGGCATGTTGGAATAGGCTACAAGAACAAGGTAACAAAAGTTAATCGGAATCGGCTGCCCGCAAAGGCCACCATCTTGAAAAAAGGGGGGCGCGGAGGCCAAAATACCCCGCCGGCGACAGCTTTTTCGCTAATATCTCAAAAACAATCAATTCCGCTGAAAAATGTTAACGGACCTTTCATAAAGAGCACACAATTTTTCCTATTAGAGACACTATACATTTATTAATTTGTGACCTCCAGTTCAGGAGATATCGCGGTAGTTCTCTGCGGCTAGGAAGGTCGAATTTTGCTTGATTTCGCGCTCTCCCACGCAATCTGCAACAATTATGAAGGCGTATTAGCGCCTACAAGACTGCAGGAATACTTCACGCATTGCGCCAAACACAGTGCGGTCGCCGGTCGGCACGCAGAGCATGCTAGCGCCTACAAGACTGCATGAATACTTCACGCATTGCGCCCAGCACAGTGCGGTCGCCGGTCGGCTCTCAGAGCATGTTAGCGCCTACAAGACTGCATGAATTATTCACGCATTGCACCAAACACAGTGCGGTCGCTGATCTGCGTGAAACGTATATCGACGGCGTGTGTCCGCAGCCACATATCTTGTTTTGCGGTGTCTGAAAATCTCCGCCTCTATTTTATTTTTTAAAAGAAGAACAAATCGACATCATTCCTTGAAATTTTCGCAGAATTTTCTTGGCACAGAGAAGAAAAATTACGGCAGTTTAAAAGAATTGCCGTTGAGTAGTTTTCCGTTTAAAAAATAAAGTATGACAGGAAGTCTGCGACGTCGCAAACCGAGTTATGTGATTGCTGACTTACACCGTCGATAATCTCGATTCGGGTCCCGTCCTGGCGTCTCGCACCATAAGATTTTTAACGAGGTTGCAAATTTTCAACTCGGACATTCGACTATTGCAACCCGAGGAAAAAACGAGCCAAAAAAATATTAACCGCACGTTCAGGTTACTTTGTTGTCTATTTCCTACGTTGACCGAAATCTCTGTTACTTTTTTTTAAAAGTGCGAGTGCTTTTTGATGACAAGAGATCTCGCATGAGAGTTTGGATCTCGCCACACGCGCGGTACGGCGTCCGAATGTTTACGTCGCAAAGTTGATCGTCACCTGAGAAAGTGCAACATGCTGTCATGCTCGGTTCATAATTAGCGTTCGGACGTTCACGGACAAACCCCTCGCCCAGTCATTCTCTACGACGCGACGTGAGAAGTTACGCCGTTTTAACCGATGACATCAGCGAGGAATTCGATGCCTCGTCCAACGTCCAACCCCAAGCTGTCGAAAATTCGCTAATAAGAGTCCCACTATAAATATACGAGGTCGAATTTTTACCCGCCTTCACTTGTTGATTTTCTCGAAAAGTGTAAGACATGCGAGCACGCCCAAACCGATATTCTAGCGTTGATTTTCTTATCTTCGGCAATGATGCAGTGCTAAAGAAAAACGCTGCATACGCCTTCAGGCGTTGCCAAATTTTCTTTGGCAAATCTTTAATGATGGGGGAAATTTGTGGGTGTTTTTCTTCCAAAATTTCAGAAAATTTTGTCTGTAGTTTGATCTAAAGTGTCTGAAAATTTCAAGAAAAATATTGATAACTTCATTTAAGAATAATTATTTTCTGCGAGTAAATTCGGCAACATTCGAATAATCATACGGCGTTTTTTCTCAGCACGGCAGAATGGACCACTACACAGGAGGAAAAACTAATCGACGTTATGTATTAAATGGACAATAGAATACAAAGTAACCTAAACGTGCGGCTAATCTTTGTTAGTTTGTTCTTATTTAGGTTATATTGGCCAAATCTTTGAGTTAGAAATTTGCAACCTCATTAAAAATCAGATACGAACCGCCATGATTGGGCCTGGATCGCATTTAAGATGGTCCAATGTGATAGCCAATCCCAAGTCGCAAAATATGAGTAAAGTCAAGAGAAACAAGAGTGCATTAGTTCAGCAGACTAACCTACGATTTCAGTAGATTCAACAAAAAAATTGGTCGACCAACCAAGTCCTTTAAGTTGATCTCACCGCATTGTTGTTAAACAGTGCTAAAAAATCAGCACATTTACCTATTTAAACCCATGTAAAATATATTTATTTTAACGCCAATCTGGGAACCTCGTCTCACGTACGGAGAAAAAAGTAACCATCAACACGGACATTTTCGACTATGCGTGGTTGGGCCGGCACTGCTGGCAGCATTTGTCAAAACGTGGAAAAAGGAATTCCTATGTAAAACCAAAGAGTTCAGGAAAACCCTGAGCTACGTAAATAGGATTCTAGAAAGACTATATTCTCGACTACAAGTTTCCTTGGGCTTTCCAAAAACTTGTCACCCGATGTTGCGTTATAGGAGCATACTTGATGGCACTTTTTGCTAAGCGTGCCGCCCACGCTACACCCGCAGATGCGCTGTTCGGTTCTCGAACGGACCCGTCCCGCTTATTCTGTTTTCGAGATTAATATGTCTCTTTCCATTTTAAATTTAATATTGTGGAATTTTGACGGCGCGCCAATCCCTCTTGCCGCGGCTTTTCCAATTTTCGACGGATTTTATACGCTATAAATATAATCCTATCTCACAAGACTCTGCGTATCTCTTTGTTAACCATCAATTCAATTTTCGATCAATACACATTAGCCAAATTGCTTCCCACTAATTAAGATCCGTGCCTTGCCCTCATTTCGTGGTTCTTCACTGAAAAAAAATTCTCGGCGTTTTTACCACGGTCCGTTGGTACCTTTACCATCTCACTTTTTTTACCAATTATTGGTAATTGTACCAAGACAGACTGGTAAGCTTACCTAAAACCGGTAATTATTCTGTTTTTCTCAGGTAAGAATACCACTTTTATTGGTAATCAATTCCCGGTAACTTTGCCATTTTATCTCGGTAATTCTACCACAGTCGATAAAAAATATTGGTGTTTTTACCAAAGTCCAGTAAAATTACTGAGAAAGTTCAATAATTTTACCGAGATATCTCGGTAAAATTACCAATTCCATAAATGGTAATTTTACCAAGAAAAAACTGGGATCAAATAGAACCCTGAATTCTTGGTAATTTTACCCTTTTCTTAGTAAATACACCGAGATTTTTTTTTTTCAGTGTACGATACCGCGTATTTCCAACAATTTCAGGGTATCTTGACCCTGAGGTGTGACTCGGGCGTCCTGCGTGGGACAGAACTCTCGATTTGTTTTACTACGGATAGATTGTGTAGGTACTTATGAAAATTTACTGGTACAATTAAAAGACCACTAGATTCCTTTACTTTATTTAAAATCAATTTCTATGTCCGCCAGAAGGGAGGATAAACAGCGAGTTGTCACCAGGTGCTCCAACTTCATCGCGCGTCACACGCAGAGTGCATCTGAAACAGTGGCTCTAGCGCTTAAAGACTCGTTGAAATAGTCGAAAGAAACCCGCCGCGAATTCTGAAGCAGCGATCGGCAAAACATAATTTCGGCATCTAACAATTAAGTTTTCAAGCTAAGATTGCCTTTAGAATTTTACCCCGCGGACGGAACGCCACGACTATGAAATTATGATACCTTTGTATTACTGTCCAAACGAGGTTGCCACAGAATTTAGATAATGAATTTCCCTCACACATTTTGATGAAATTATCCGACAATGGAGATGTTGCATGTGTGAGGGATTTGCGATTTGACCATTGATTCTTAGGTAAAATTTCGCGAGAAACAAGATGGTGCCACTGGTTTTCTCTGAAATCATACCCCAAGCTCAGAAAAAAGCTCTCAAAGTGAGGCCAAAATGGAGGGGATATCCCACTCTACCCTGAGAGTCCACCTCTACATCAAGACAAACTCTTCATGCAAAGATAGGGAGCAAATACATTGACAGGGCTGCCACTTCATTTGGGGACTCTAAAACTGAAAACATGGCAACCCTGCTAATGTATTTGCTCCCTATCTTTGCATGGAGAGTTTATCTTGATGTAAACGTGGACTCTCAGGGTAGGGTGGAATATCCCCTCCATTTTGGCCTCAACTTGAGAGCTTTTTTTGAGCTTGGGAGTTGATTTCAGACAAAACCAGTGGCACCATCGTGTTTCTCGCGAACTTTTACATAAGAATCAACAGTCAAATCGCAAATTCCTCACACATGTAACATCTCCATTGAAGATAAGCCCGATGCACGGAAAAAAAATTAAATGTTGATTTAGCATTTATACCGTTAAAAAATGTCCGACAAGTTTCAAATGCTGATTTTACAATACAAAAATGCTAGCATAACAGTTTAATTTGTACGTTTTGCAGTGGGCGTAGTTACGTTAGCATTTGTTAAAATGTAAAATGAGCATTTGAAACTTGTCGGACATCTTTTTAACAGTATAAATGCTAAATCAACATTTAATTTCTTTCCGAGCGATTAAAAAGACATAATTTGAAATAGTTTAAGGCAAAATTTATTGTTCGAAACGTTAAACCTGTTCTAGAGAGAAAATAAAGTTGACTTAGTGATTTTTCGCTGGCGTTCTCGTCATTTTCCCTCTCCTTTTAAAAAATCCCTGACATTTCCCGGCATTCCCTGACTGTGGCAACCTTGTGCGTAACCAGAGACCTATTTTTCCCACTCTTAGGGAAAAAATCTGGGGACAAATAGCACGTATGAGCAACACTGCAACGCATGCACTTGCGCCACTTGTGCACCGAGCCATGCCGTGCGGGATTCCGAGAGGTTCCTGACGTTTCATTCGCGGCGCGACGACAAAACCGACCCACCGGGGCCGCATACGTGTAACCCCCCCC